TTGGGAGGTTCCCAGGGGAAGTCAGGACTAGAAGTAAATTCCTTGAAGCATGCTTTGTTTTTCCCTCAAGAGGTATGATAACCAGCTCATGCTGGGAAGGAAATTTGCATTATTCACAGACTCTCACCCTAAACCCTGTGGCGCCCTTATGTTTAAGCTCTCGTTTACTTGTCTCATTTTGGACCCATGTAAGTGGACCCATGTAAATCAATGTGTTCCTGCCATTTGTTTTCCTGAATATCATCTATTCTCTATGAACATTAACATAATGATATAATGAGATCACCTGTACATTCTTATTACCTAGCCCCATTGATAACCCTTTCAATAAAGGCCTTTGGACAAAGGGGCTCAGAGCCTTCTCCACTAGAGGGAAGAGCTACCCCTTTCCCTGGCAGACAGAGAAGTGTCGGGGATGACTCATTTTATTTCTCCCATCCATGATGACCCCGGGACGGGCTCTGTGGGATCAAAGCCCATGCTCCCACCTCAACTTCCTATTTGTAGCTGGTGGGTCAGAAGCACAGGTAACAATCTAGGCTTGGAACTGGCATCTGAAGCGGCGGTGGGAGACAGTGTTGTAGGACTGAGCCCTAAACTTGTGGTATCGGATGTGATCTCCAGGTAGATAATGTCAGAATTGAGTTGACTTGTAGGACACCCACTGTTTGAAGAATTACTTGGTGTACAGGGAAAGCCTCTGTCCCACCCCTTCATGTACATGTTGAAATTGGGTTCAATATTGCAAAAGAACTATTTTTTATAAAAGATTGAATTGAGCAGGTATAAAATCTGGAATTATTAAGTATATTGTTCAAATACTGTCCTTCATATGTTACTTTTTAATGACATACTCCATGGGAAGAAATGTGATGTTATCTGAGGAGTATGGCTTTTACACATGGTCTTTTGTAGTCTCTGACCCAGCTGTGAGTGAGTGCTTCCTAGAATAAATTCAACAGCTTCCTTTCTAGATCTTATCTTACATACTCTAACCACTAGATGTTAACAAGTATTTAGGTAAGGTTTGTAGTTCTTCCTTGAGAATATGGTAATGGTCAGTTGTCTCAGGTTGAGTTATGTTAGTTAGTTAATTAGTTAGTTAGTTTGTGGGCCCATCTATCTTTTTTTTAGTGGGCTGTCTGAGACATCAAAATATATTGCAGAGTCTTCTAGCTGTGATGGCGATTGGATGAACTTGATAGCATTAGTTGCTTTCTGGAAGTTCACAGAATATTGACCTTGTATTGTGTAGTATCTGCACTTTTGTGCTAAAAAATTAGGAAAATCACCTCACCACTGGGTTGCCTTTTGTACCAATGCCATACATGAGATTTTGTACAAATAGCATACATAACACCCAACCCTTGTGTCATTTAAACAGTCTGGTTCCACAACCTCCAATCACCTTCCTGCCTAGATGCTGTTAGATGGAATTGAATGACCTTCTGGGATGTGCTAGCTTCTGTGGACATAAGAAATAAGAAGATTGATCCCAGAGCTGACATTAAGAAAATTTCCTTGAACTTCTAAGCAGGAATTAACTTTTAAGTCAAGGAAGAAAGACTCAAAATATGGTTTCTTTCCTCTTCTTTCCCATTTTCCTGGAGAGTTAGTCACAGTTGGCCTTGCTCATCCCTCGGCCCCTCCCCCCATCTCCCATGAATACTAGGGTGTCCTCAGTCTCATTACCAACAACTGTTTCTATTAGGGAAGACAGAGGCCATCAGTGCCCATAAGATGCTAAGGAGAGTTATTTTGGGACCTCTGTCTCTCAGAAAATAGTTCCTGCTCTGGGACTGGGACTCGTCTCTTTCAATCTTGTGAAGCTCCACTTAGAATTGTTGGAGACAGGCAGTGTAGCTGTCTCAGGGCAGAAAATGTTTGGTGGGGATGGATAGGATGAGTCATCAGATCATGTACTGCTCATATTGGCGTAGACTATGTTGAGACACTAGATTTTTATATGGTAGGCTTTCCTTCTAATAAAAGCTGTCCAGGTATCTCCAGAAATGTTGTCCATGTCAATTTATTCCCAGATTCAAATTTTCATTAAGAAAACAATTCCTGTGTTTTTCTTCCCAAGGGAGGAAAAGATAATTTTAACTAAAATGCAAGTAGAGCTTTGTATCTTTGTATGGGAATAGATATCAATTTTCACACATAATGTTTTGCGGTAACACTGGAACGCATGGGTTCTTTTCTGTCTACTTAGCCTCTGAATGTGTTTTCAAACACCTCTAAAATCTACCCTTTCTTCTGAATATTTAGACTTCAAAATTCTTGTTATTATGTAGGTAACATTTCACTAGAACAAAATAAAATTTCCTTTCTGTTTAGGTTTTTTTCCCTTGGACTCAGCTATAATCAAAGACCACCTCTGTGATGAGATATTATTTCCCACAACTCCGGGTCACTAGCCAGCCTGTTAGATTGAGATAAAGTTATCTTTTTTCTCTACTCTCACCTCCAGTCCATCATGCTCCCTGAGGAAAAGGTAAAATCCTGAAGCCACCATATCAGGCTGATCACCTCCCACAATTTTATTCAGTGAAACTTGGCCCTCATGAAATGAGAACTAATGGTTAATAATGAAAACATTACTGTTTGCCTTCAACATTATTTTGTATTCATTTTAGGTGCACAGCAGAAGAGTTAAGCCATCATATACTTTGCAGAATAGTCTCACAATATTTCAAGTACCCACCTGGCATGACATATAGTTATTACAATAATTTTACCTATATTTCTTATGCTTTATTTTACATCCTCCAAAACATAATCATTATTAAACTTTCAAAAATATTAAAAAGTTCAAGCCTAAAAAAAAATAATGAAAACATTACCTACAATTCATTGAACACTAATGTTCTAGAAACTTCATAGACTTAATCTTACCTGACCTTCATCTTCTGGTAAAGGCAAATCTTGTCAAAAATTATGAGCCCCTTGCATTGGTATTTTACAGAGGGAGCTAGAGTTAGAGTCTCAGAGACCTCCTCAAGATGACACAGGTAGTAAATAGAGGACCAAAGATGTAAAGACTCTCCAATTTAGGAGCGTAAACTTGAGTCACTACTCCTTAATTATTGTTATTCTCCCTAAACTTCTGCTTCTCCTTCTTTGATTTTTTTTACTCAAATTAAAACAAAATTAGTTAATTATTAAGCTAAAAGAAGTGTTACAGATTATCACAAGGTCTAGAACCTGAACATTTTTATCCACCTTACTTTTTAAATAGATTTTATTGAATATAAGTTATATGAAATAATAATTGAAGATTTCAAGTGTAACATTTAAATTACTTGACAAATTTTCTCTGACTGGTGTGGCTCATTGGATTGGGCACCACCCAGCACACTGAAAGGTCTCTGGTTCCATTCCCAGTCAGGCCTCATGCCTGGGTTGCTGGCCAGTTTCCTGGTTGGGTGCATGCAAAAGGCAACGGATACATGTTTCTCGCACACATTGATGTTTCTCCCTATCTTTTTACCTCACTCCCTTCTCTCTAAGAATAAATACATATACAATCTTTTTTTAAAAAGAAAATATTTGACAAAACCATATACCCTGACACGGATCGATATATACTTTTTATCACTGTATAAGTTTTCCTGTGATCCACGCAATCAATGCCGTCTTTCCAACCCAAACCCTGGCAACCATGACCTGATTTGTGTTGCCCACAGATTACATTTGCATCTTTATTAAGTTTTATTTATATAAATTATTTAGTAGGTACCCTTTGTGTCTAGCTTCTTTCTTTCAGGACATTTGAAAATTTATCCATATTAATAGATGAATAAGTAGTTGTTGTTGTTGCTGAATAGTATTCAATAAAATGAATACACCAGTTTCATGATTTAATCATGGGATTTTTCTTCTGCTGTTCCAATCTGTTATTGGGCACATCAATAAATTTTTCTATTTATTTCTAAGATTTCCAGCTTTTTGTTGTGTGGTTTTCATTTCTTTGCTGAGATTTCATTTCTGTTCACTTATTTAAAAATGTTTTTCTTAACTTTTTGAATAAATTTAATTTATCTTTTGCACATATCTATTTTTTATCGGTGCTTTAAAAAAGTTGCCTGGTAAATTACACAGCTTAAGCCATCCCAGAGTCAGTTGCTATTTGCTTTTTTCTTGGCTATGAATCATATATTCCTGATAATTTTTGGTTGTGTAATAAAGACCAATGACTAGGGTTCCATTTGTGAATTTTAACTTCTGTTATAAATAAGGAACATATCTTCCTTTGTCACTCTAACTTCTTTTAAATACATTCATCAGCGAACACTTGTTGAGCACTTAGTACATAACAGTGTTGTGCTGGGTTTCACGCGCAATTAAGAAATGATACGAAAATCAACCAGAATCAAGTACAGTGAGAATGGAAGTGGAGGTCAGTCCAAAAATGGAAGTCTTTTTCAATTACATTTTTCCAAAACAAATACTAGACACTTGGGAGAGTATTGCTAGTGACCTCTCAGGGTAGGTCACATTAGTATAAACCATATAAATTCTGATACTCAACAACATAAGAAGGAAAATATTTATTTTTGTGGTTGTTTTTTCATTAGTACCCTAACAACAAGCTTTGGATATCTTGCAAAAGAGAGAGAAGTTATTTTCATTTTTAGAAAGGAATACTTCCACATAAGTAGTTAACATGTGTAGCTGAAGTAATAACATAATTCATTCTGGTATGGGAAACTGAAATTTATGTAATTCATTTACCTACCATAAAATTACAGCTACCTACCATAAAATTACATAATTACCTACCCAGTTTTTATATAATTATTGAGAAAATAATGCTGATTTAGATTTGTTTTAAATGGCCAACTTTTTGCATTTTATGTGATAACAACTGAATTTCCCTCAAATTTCTTTTTTCTTGTTTTGGATGAGCCTTCAGGTCGGTTCCCCCAGGGAGCCCTGTGCTAGGAGGCATCAGGGCCCGGCTGCAGGTTAGAGCACAGCCTCTGGAGGCCCGGGTGTCACTGTGCTTCTCCTCCACAGAAGTAGGTGCCTGAGTGACGGGGCCGGGAGCCTGTGATGTAGAAGGAGCTGTGCTGCATTTCTCTATCCAACGTGGCAGCTATTTCGTCCTGAATCTCTTCTCCTTTTCTTCTTAACAGCATCAAGAGGACGGGACCTTCACCATGCTTCTGCCAGTACCAGTGTAAGGAATATAAAGTCTTTGAGGATTTGCACTTGATGGTAACATTTCCCCCCTCTTGGACGATCAAGGACTGAGGACTCTGCTGCACTTCTTGGCTTCTCACATCTGAGCAGAAAAACAGTTGAAGGACACAGGAAACCCTCATGAGATGCTCATTCTCAAACGGAAACATCACCAAATAATGATTGAATATGAGTGTTTCTCATAAGGGCCCTCCCGGGTTGGAAAGACATCCCAATTTCAGCACCAATTTCAGGGTGCTGTCACCATTATAAGCCTCTCTTAGACTGAACTGTGTACTCACAAGCCAATTGCCACAACAGAGCCCCTGCAAGCACCTTCAGGAGAGTCTCCATTTCTTGGTTCCACAGCTAATCCAGTGGACCAGGTCAGATTCTGAATGGGCTTCCTCAGCAGGAGTTCCTTTGAGCTCAGGGCAAGGTCTGTTACAGTTGTTTCTAGAATAGTGAAGCTTAGGGGGACAACCAATCAGAGAGACATTGCAGCATTTCATCCTGTACTGAAAATAGTGTGCATCTAGAATACTTTTAAAACAGTGCCCCCATCTGTTGAGACTAAGAAAAGATTAAAATATGGATTTGGCCTTTCTTGAATAAGATTACTTCCAGTCTGTCTTTTGTATGTGTTTGTTTTTGTTTTGCTTAGTGTTTTGGTATAAGGAAAAAAACTATCAACATACTGAGTCAGAGAGAGTTACTCCAGGATTAAGAGAAAAACTAATATTAAGAGACATTATATATAAAACTATGTCTATAAATATATACGCATCTATCAAAGCAATAATATTTCAAATAGTAACATTTCATTATACCATTTTCTTCTCCAGATCATTTCAGTGCTCATTAGTGCCTTCAAGATAACGTACCAACATCTAATAATGGCTCATCATTATTTTCACAAAGTAGTGTCTGCATATTGCTCTAATCTTAAGTTTTCTGTTGCCCATTTTGAGTTGTATGTGCCAGCCTTCTAAATTAGTTTCATGTAATCCTGCTAAACTAAATCTTGACTTTATACTTTTGCATACTCTGTTTCTCTTTTTCTGTAATACTTTTTTCCCTGACCCTACTTTTGACTAACTTCTTTATGAGTTTTAGATATTACCTCTTATAGGTGGCCTTCCTTATATTCTGTATCCAACTTGGATACCTCTGTTAGGTGGTCACCGTTTGCTTTTCTCCTGTGATAGTTTTGATTACACTGTTTTGCTATATATTCCACAACAGTATATGCTTCCCAAGTGCAGGCACAATGTCTATTTCCTTCCACTTGTATCTTGTGTATTTGAGCCTAAGATATATATTAGGGGTCAAGTGAAAAAATAATTAGAAGACTCTCAAGTAAATAGAGAACACATTTGGGGGCTTCACAAAGATTCTGACTGCTCATTTGTTAAATTGATATCATGCTACTTTGCATTGTCAGTTGGGGAAATATATGTATCGTATTTGTGGACAGACTTGGGCTATTAGAAATAAATGTTCTATGCACATTCTTTACAAGTTGGGGAAAATACCTAGGAATGGAATGCTTTTACAGTATGATATGTTTTATTCAACTTTTTAAAAAACTTCCAAACTGTATTCAAAATCACCAATTGATTTTGGTATATTGTACATACTCACCAGTAGTGTGAGAGAGTTCTAGTTGTTCCACATCTTTGATAAGTCTTGGTGCAGTCAGTCTTTTTAATTTTAGACATTCCAGTGAGAATGTAGGGGCATCTAGAAATTTAATGTGCTTTTCTATAATAGCTTATAATGTTGATCATCTCTTTTTATATCAGTACCTATAATTTATTAGTTTTTATGCTCTGTTTTTTTTTTTTTTGTATAAACATACTGCAATTTATTCTCCTGTTGATTGATATTGGGTTGGATTTTTTTTGCTTTTTTATGATATTTTTATTTTTCAATTACAGTTGATGTCTAATATTACATTAGTTTCAGGTGTACACCTCAGTGATTAGATAGTATATGAAGTATGTCCAAAAAGCATCCAGCCATTGTTAATATAACCAGAACAGTTTATGCAACATTGACATAACCGGGCAGCCAAGGAGAGTGGACTGCAATGTACATGCATGAACAATGATGACTTCACTGTACTAGTCAGAGGGAGTAGCAGACACCTGTTGCATGAGCATGTGTACTGTGTGGCCATCACATTCAAAATGACTGAGCAAGAAGAGCAGCGAACCTGCATCAAATTTTGGATTAGGCTTGGGCATTCCCTCACTGAAACTATTTGGATGATTCAGAAAGGTTTTGGGGATGATGCAAGTGGTGCAATGCAAATAAAAGTGAGTCAAAAACATTTCAAAGCTGGCCGAGAACCTATTGAAAATGATCCACATTCTGGAAGGCCTGAAACAAGCAGAACGCCTGAGGATGATGAATGTATACAGGCTTCAATCAACAAAGATCAGTGATTGACAGTGTGAGATCTAGAATCTGATCTGGAGATTCCAAAAACTACTGTGTCTGAGATTTTGAAGCAGCATTTTTGCATGAAATGATTGTGGCAAAATTTGTTTCACGGCTTCTGCCACCAGAGCAGAAGGAACATCATGCTGCAGTTGGAAGCGCTGTGTGATGTCCCAAGGTGCCTACCTTGATGGAGACTGTTGCATTATTGTCTTATGTACAGTGTTTCTTGTATCTTCTTCAGTAAATGTCTCTACTTTTCATATTGCTTGGCTGGATACTTTCTGGACAGGCCTGGTATAACTTACCAAGTGATCATTGCAATAAATGTCATACCCATCTGACACTATACATAGCTATTGTTTGTCATTTAGTGCTTGCTAGAGTAATTGTGTGAGTAGGTACCCAATACTCTGTTATCTTGGTTCAGCTTGTATCTCAGATTGTCCCATGTGCCTGGATCTCAGATTTAGGATTTTCTCAGCAATCATACCTCCCCTCTGCAATGTAACCAATCCCTGTCATGTTTCTCGGTTACACTCATGGGATAACATTCTTTGCCTTTTCCTCATTCATAGTAGAGTTATACCGGTATTGCTATAGGATATTCAGCTGAGAATGGTCTCCTGCCCTTGACCCAAAGGTTGAGGGTTTTTCCTTGTCTTTTCTTTCTGCTGCAATGGACTTTAACTTGGGCCCTGTGGGGGAGGGGTGATGGAATTTGCTGTCAGCACTGTATTTGATCCCCAACATCTTCAGGCTTTTCCCTCATGTGCAAGTCTGATCTAGGAAACGTGGAGGGGTTTGTGCCTTCCTGCTGCCACAGCTGGTCATGTCCCACAGACGTACATCTCTGGTGGGGCACCCTTGTCACCCATCGTGTCCCCAGTAATTTTAGTGAACAAATGGTAAAGGTCTGTGAAGATGGCCCTACCAATTCCCTTTGTGTCTCTTACTCTCAGCAGCTCTATGTTGTGATAAGAACCCTCACTCACTGATTCCCTTTGCTGATTTCCTCCCTTCCTTTTTTTTTTTTTTAAAGATTTTACTCATTAACTTTTAGAGAGAGGAAGAGAGAGAGAAAGAGAGGGAGAGAAACATCAATGTGTGGTAGCATTTCGCGCACCCCCTGCGTGGTCCTGGCCTGCAACCTTGGCGTTTGCCCTACACTAGGAATCACACCAGCGGCCTTTTGGTTTGTAGGCTAGTGCTCAATCCCCTGAGCCACACCAGCTAGAGACGTCCTTTCTTTTTGTAGCTGATTTATATAAATTCTGTTTGTCAGGCAGCCAGCACCTCTTTCCCATGCTGTGGTAAATTTGTGCCAGTCCACATGCCTGTTTCTCCTTTGAGAAAACTGTTTCTCATGGGAATCCAACCTACTTATTTGCCCTGTGACCTTGGTTAAAGCAAAGTTATGAGTTTGCTGCTTTTCTAGTCACATGTTGAGGTGAAAGGAAGCAATGCTCTTTCACACTTCATACATCTTAGTAGGATTGGAGCTGTGTTCCTCTTTCATTGTACATAAAATTGACATACTACTATCAGGAATGCAGGATCTTTTTCAGCATTCCCTATGACTCATAAGGATATTGCAAAACACAATGTTATTGTAAATCACACTTCATAATTGAAATGCTTTATTCCTAGTCAGTAAGGGGGAGGGCGCTGTTTTCTCTTTTCCTGGTTGTATTTGACCTCTATTGTTCACTCTGCATCCATTTTGAAAACAATTAATTAAACCCAAGGAGGGTTTGTGGGAATCAGTGATTTATAACCAGTGGATCACAACTCAGGTAACCACCTGGACATCTGATTGGCATCCTGGGTTGACGGGCATTGTTGCAACCTCCCATTTGTAGCTGGTGAGTCAGAAGCACAGGTAATAATCTAGGCTTAAAAATGGTATCTGAAGTGGGGGTGGGTGGAAGTCTTGAATGACTGCACTCTAAAGCTGTGGGTTCTGAAGGCCTGATATAAGATGCTAGGTCAATTGCAGAAAGTAGCTCTTTACCAAGGCTGCTTCCCAAAGATATCAAATAAAAAGAGCATATAGATTGATAACTATGGGAATGAATGAAATCTGAGTGTTGCAGTGAAGAGCTTGATCAAAAATAATAAGAATAGGTTGTAGGTAGCAGTCCCTTTTTGGCATGACTTTTTGTCACCTTAGGACTGTAGAGAAAGAAGGCATGACTCTATTTCTATACTACAGCTTCCCTTCATACACTGACATGAAATTGGGTAAGTATAATGCAATCAGAGTGAAGAATGTGCATTGTAACAGAACTTTATAACTGGGAGGGAATAATTTATAGATTGTGTTAAGTCTTTCTGAAGATAAGCAAAACTCTTCAATATGTTGAATTGTGATGTTAGAAATAGTTTTGTTGAGATCAGGGATATATGATAGCTAGAGAGATTATCCATTTCTTTTTCTAACTTTTTTGAAAATGAAGTGAACTCTATGCTATCATTTCTATGTAGACTCTTAGAAAAAATTTTAACTCAGTAACAGAATATAAAAGTAGTGGCAAGAAGATGTGTATGGGTATTAGAAATACAAAGAGGTCAGAAAACCAAAAACATGATTAATGATTGAATTTATTTTATAATATATAGTGTAATAAATATATAAAACACTTGTAGATAAATACTATTTCCTACAATAAAATTTAATATATATCATATTTTTTCCTCAGACAGTTCCTGTTATTGTAGAATATATATAGTATGTATATATAGTATGTATATATGTATATAAAGTACATATATAATACATATATACACGTATATGCACACTATAAGGTTAATATATTGTGATAATATATGGCAGGAAATTGACACTTCTTTTGACCAATTTGCTATCACAGGTTATGATGGAAGCAGAGGTTGAAAAGGTGCTTTCCTGTTTCAACTCTTGCTCTTGCTCCTTTGTGGCTGCCACGAGGGCGTGCTGACCTAGGCTGCTGGGGGAGCTTTACTTATCCTAGATGAGACCCGTCTAGGCAGCCTACAACCAGTTGTTGTTCAGACCTAACAATGAGCTCTGCCAAGCCCAGAAACACTGTTCAGTGGAGCCCAGTGTAAATTGTCAATCCACACATTTGTTAGTTACATAATTTATTGTTTTAAGCCTTGCTCTTGGAGTAATGCACCATTTTTGTCACAAAGGTTAACAGATACAATGGGAGATATGAATGCTTAATTGAATAGCCTGTGGTGTGGCTTCTAGAAGACAGGAACACATTACATTACAGTAGTGTAGGTAGGCCCTCCAATGACATTTGTGTTGACTCTATGATTGGATGTCTCATGATTTCAGAGAGTTGGGATCTCTGAGCCTAAGAAAATGGAATGGTCACTGCAACAGTCTCCTGTGAAGTATGTATAGCTTCCCAATCAGGGGTCACTTTAAATGATCACATGATTGTATTTGTAAGAAGATATTTCAGTAACACTGTTAGCTGTTTAGTGAAAAATAATTGAAGTTCCTTTACACTATATTACACATACACACATTATATTACACAACATGTACACAGGGAGTTTCACCCTATTTCTCATTTCTTTTCTTGATATCTGGGATCTTCAATTTTCAGCTTGAAATTTTATCTTTAAGGGCCTGAGAACAATTCTGGCATGAAGAAAAAAAGTGTTTATAGAAGTTCAGAGTGTCTATTTTCCTTCTATTCATCACGCAAGTGAAAAGCATAAAACCAGAGATCAGTACATGTCTGTGGGTAATGGAATCATACAGCCATTGGACTACAAGGAAATTGATTTCATCTAGTTCTATCCACAAATGAAGAAACTGTATGGACTAATAGAACTGCCAAAGGGAATCCAAGTTGACAATGGTAATGAGAATATAAAATGTCTTGATATTTATTAGTTAACATAATCATTACCACTCATTTGTAGGAATGAGGAAAATCATGTAGGTCACTTTGGCCATCTAGATCACTCAAGTCTAAAGCTGGAAACTGCTGGACACCCCTGACTTAATCAATGAATGGGATATTTCTCCAACATTGTCTAAGTTCTTGTGGTCCCACAATGACCTTGGGCTGCTTTTTCACTCTCACCTTTGAGCTGCATCCTAAATGCTCAGTCCCACAAACCCATCTCAGCTGAGAATCAGGATATTCACCAGTAATAAGATCTTTGCAGGTGACAGACTTTATGCATGACTGTGTTTATTATTATGATTAACAGGGCAACACCTCTTACTGATGGGCAGCATGTCAGAGGTCAGTGTCTTCAAGAGAAAAGAGTACACGGTGATATACTGAAGCAAAGCCTGAAAGTAATTTACAAGTGAAGAAACAATTACATGCATGTGTCATAATATATCCATCCTCAAATGCGTGTCATGTAAAGGCACAGTTACCGGGAAAAAATAATCAGGATTATTGTACAAAAAATGAAGCACATAATTGCTGGTACTCAAAGGCCAACAAATACTCACTGAGAAAACTTGTCTTATGACCCTGGTTTCCCCATCCCAATGCATCTCTTCCCCTGGGATAGAGGGGAAACAAGGTAACTTCATTCCAGGGATTAGTGGGAACAAAACATCACCAGCAATTGGAGTCTTGCCTACAGCAGGAACCTCTCTCTGAAAGTGAACAATGACAATGGATAGACTCATGGACACCCTGAGGGTCAGGGAACATTCTAAACTTGTTGGGAACCATCTCGCCTGGTTTCAGGGACTGTGACCTTGCCAATAGGCAAGAGGCCCCCAAGGTTGGGGCTAAGCAAGGAGGCCTTGGGAAAATAGGCCACTGAGGAGACAAAACCTGACCCCCTGGCAGAGGTGCAGCCCCTGCCTCCCTCACATCACCCTGTTTGGCCCTGGAAGATGGCTGGTTAATCAATGATGGGTAAGATTCCTCAATAGCAAGGGCAACCTAAGAAAGGCACAGTCGCATGGGGCCATCAGGGAAGGACTTGGGGGACACAGAGAAGGGGCAAAAGACCCTCACCCCTCAGCTTTGTCATGGTCAGGGTCCTCATTCTATCTGAAAGAAGTCTCCTTATCTCTTGGCTGCTCTGCTCTACCTGCCTGGCTTAAACTTGAAACAATACTAAAGGCAGGTACAGACCTAAACTGGATTGGGTGGTTCCTGGGGACAATTAGGCCTAGAAAAAGAATGCATTAAATCCTATGAAACTTACTTTGCTAAGAATACCCTTGAGCACTGATGTTTGGGGTTGAACATAGAATGTGATCAGTTTTCCAGGTTTCAGGGCTGAATGGGCGCCACCTGTCTACCAGAGCCTGACCTGAGGCGAATCTCTGTGTTCCTTCCATTGTTATCTATGATCTCTATTTGTTTTCTGTAAACATAGCCTTTTGACACTGATTGATCAGCTTTGCATGCATGCTGGATACCCCTGAGCAAATTGTTCTCAATAAAAACCAGTTCAAGGGAAGGGCTTGGGGCATTCTCCACTAGAGGGAATCATCACCCCCTTTTTTCTGGCAGACAGTCCATTTTCTGGAGTGACTTATTTCATTTTCACCATCCATGGTGACCTGGGGGGATTCTGCGGGAACGGGGTACCTGCATCATAAACTCATTTGTAGGACTTGCTATGTATCAGCCTTCCTGAAAGCTCAACTTGCTCACCTACTTTAAAGCACATCTTTTCTTACTGCTATGTGAAAATGGAAGCAAGTCTGTGTGCCTCCCAGTCTGACCTCCAAAGTGGGGGTTAGCTTGGCCCCAGCTGCCGACTGAGTATAAGCTGCAGGTGCCTGGAGAGCACTGTGCACTCACTGTGCAGAGGTACAAAGTCAAGTCTCCAGGTTGTGAATTCTCAATATGCAGAGAGATGTTTGGCACTTACGTTGAGAAAGACTGTGAATCTTCCATATTTATTTTAATGTGCAACTGAAGGTATTGATATCAGACGTGCAGGTGCTTTAGTGGGGTATCCTTTGTACCATGTGAAGTAATCAAACAAATTATTATTGTAGTCACAGATCAGAATAGAAATACCTCCATCCTGCGCACTCTGGGATGGAGAATTCTGCTTCACCTGTCGCTGCTCACCATTCTTCTGTAGAATATTCATGCCTGTGTGGAAAGAGTAACCATTTTTAAATTTAATGGAACTTGGGGAAGCCACAGGAGATCTGGAAGGTCCTTTGCATGTCTCCAGGGTTGGTTCTAGTTCCAGCCTGGATACTACTCCGTTGTACCAATACAAAAGCTCAGTGATGACAAGGATTTCTGTGAATGCTCATTTTTTTTTTATACTTTATTCAGACTTCCTTAGTTTTTATCTAATGTCATTTGTCTGCTCCAGGACTTGAAGCAGAATATCACATTACATTTAGTATTTGCATTGCTTACTTACTCCATCCCTTGACCTCTAAACTATCTGCATCTTTATATTTAAAATATTGCTGTGGGTTTATTGTACATAACATGTAATTGAGGTTATTTTTAGTTTTGTTATCTTTTTTTGATATGATTTTATTAATATCTACATTTATACTGATTTTTTATTTCTAACACTTGTTTTATTTTTTCTTTATATAACTTTTAAGTTTTAATTAAGTAGTTTACATTATTACACTTTTTTCTTTTCTTTTCTTTTTTTTTTAGCAATCTGCCTTTGGTTCCCCCTTATCTCTCTTACTCTCAGTAACTTCCACCACCCATTCTAATCACATCTCCAACCTCAGCTCTGGAAACCACATCAGACAACTATTTCAGCCATGAAGTATCTTATCCAAAGCTCTACCACTACTTAATGGGAAAGATGGAAATAAATGCTCTACAATTGGTCTTAATACTGAGAGCCATATATTGGTGGAATTATGGACATACAAAGAAATGGTGGTTTTATTTTGTTCAGTTAAATTTTCCACTTTATGATATTCAAGATGGAATCCTCTCCAGGGCCAGACATCCCAATTTTTCAGGGGATCTGAGGTGGTAAGTCTGGGCACAGCAGCTGCTTGGCCCTATGTTTAGACCTGGTTCTTTTAAATGGTTGCCTCATCAAAAGCAATTATGGCACTACCAGAAGTGCACCTGTTTTGGGATGAATCCTATCAGCCCATGAAATTCTACGTGAGTTGTTTGTTTGTTTTTCTCATCTTAGATAAGATAAATGGTGCCTAAAGAAAATTTAAGATACATGGTGATATTAGATTAAACAAAGTGGAAGTAGGGGGAGCACACCTCAACATAATAAAAGCCATATGTGAGAAACTTACAGCCAGCATCATACTCAGTGGGCAAAAATTCAAAGGTTTCCTACTAAGATCAAGAACGAGACAAGGGTGTCTGCTTTCACCACTTCCATTCAAATAAGTGTTGGAAGTTCTAGTCACAGTGACCATACAGGAAAAAGAAATAAACAGCATCCATATTGGGAAGGAAGAAGTCAAATTGTCATTGTTTGAAGATGATATGATAATGTGCATAGAAAACCCTAGAGTCTCCACAAAAAAACTACTTGAACTAGTAAGAGAATTTGGCAAAACAGGGGGGACAAAGTCAATATTAAGAAATTGAAGGGATTTTTGTATACCAACTATGAAATATGAGAAACAGCAATTAGTAAAAAAAAAAAAAAATCCCATTTGCTATACTAACAAGAAAGGTAAAGTACCTTGGAATAAACCTAACAATGGTGGGTAAAAGACCTGTACTCAGAAAACCACAAAACACTGAAGAAAGAAATTAAGGAAGATACAAAGTGGAAACATATACCATGTTCATGGACTGGAAAAATTGACATCATCAAAATGTCCATACTACCCAAAGCAATTTATAGATTCAATGTAATCTCTATTAAAATATCAGTGACATACCCTGGCTTGTGTGGCTCAGTGGATAGAGCACCAGCCAGGAAACCAAAGGGTTGCTGGTTCTGTTAGAATTCAGGGCACATGCTTGGGTTCTGGGCTAGGTCCCCAGTACGGGCACTTGAGAGGTAACCACACATTGATATTTCTCTCCCTCTTTTTCTCCCTCCTTCTCCTCTGTTAAGATAAATAAAATCTTAAAGAAAAAGATAAAATACCAATGATATATTTCACATATATAGAACAAAGATTTCAAAAATATTTATGGAACTATAAATGACCCTGAATAGCATCAGCAATTTTGAGAAAAAGCAAGAAAGTAGGAGGGATCACAATACCTGACATCAAACTATATTAAAAGGTCACTAGAATCAAAACAGTCTGTTACTAGCATAAGAACACACACAAAGATCAATGGAAGAGAATAGAGAGCCCAGAAATAAACCAATGTCTTTATGATCAATTAATATTTGACAAAGGGGGCAGGAGCAGAAAATGGAGTAAGACTAATCTCTTCAAGAAATGGTGTTGGGAGATCTGGTCAGGTACATGTAAAAAAAATGAAACATGACCACCAAATTACACCAAACACTAGGAAAAACTAAAGATGGATAAAAGACTTAAATATAAGTTGTAACACTATAAAAGTCCTAGAGGAGAACATAGGCAGGAAAATCTCAGATATTCCAAGCAGCAATATTTTCACCACTATGTCCAAAGAGCAAGGGATGTAAAGGAAAGAATAAATAAATGGGACTTCATCAAATTAAAAAGTTTCTGCATGGCTAAAGAAAACATTAGCAAAATGAAAAAGGAACCAATTGTATGGGAAATGTAGAGCCAATGACACCTTGGACAAGGGTTTGATCTCCAAAACATATGAAAAATTCACATGACTCCCCACCAGGAAGACAAAAAATCCCCCGCCCCCTGCAAAAAAAACAATGGGAAAAGGATGTGAACAGACATTTTCCAAGGAGGACCTACACAGGGCCCAGAGACATATGAAAGGATGCTCAGCATCACTTGCCATCAGAGAGATGTAAAATAAAACCAGAATGAGATACCACCACTCAGTCAGAATGCCCATCATAAACAAATGGACAAACACAATATTCTGGCGAGGCTGTGGAGAAAAGGGAACCCTAGTACAATGTTAGTGGGAATGCAGGCTGGTGCAGCCACTGTTGAAAAGAGTATAGAATTTCTGCAAAATACTAAAAATGAAATTGCCTTTGACCCGGCATTCCACTTCTGGGATTATACCCTAAGAATCCTGAGACACCAGTTCCAAAAACCTATGCACCACAATGTTCATAGCAGCCTTATTTCAAATAGCTAAGTGCTGGAAATAGCCTAAGTGCCCATCAGTAAATGAGTGGATCAAAAACTGTGGTATATTAACACAATGGAATAGTATGCAGTGGAAAGAAAGACCTCCTACCTTTTGCAGCAGCATGGAGGGAACTGGTGAGCATTATGCAAAGTGAAATAAGCCAGGCAGTGAAAGACAAATAACATATAATCTCACTGATAAGTGGAACCTAACCAACAAAACAAACAAGTGAGTGAAATAGAACCAGAGATATGGAAATAAAGAACAAACTGATAGTAACTAGAGGGGAGGAGAGAGGCAGATAACAAGGGAAAGAATGGAAAGGGCTCTCAAACAATACGTATAAAGGACCCAGGGACAAAGACAAAGTGGGAGAGGATTGAATGTGTGAGGTGGGGGTGGGTAGAGCAAGGGAGAGTAATGGGGACAAATGGGGACAACTGTAATTGAACAATAAAGAAAAAAAGAATGATCAATTGGGAAACAGAGGCATAGACATGATAGAGTTTTACATTGCTCTCTTATTGGTAAGAAATAAAATGTATACCAAAAAATCAGACACCCTAGACTGGGAGGTAGAGAGTGTGGAAATTCTCCAAACTCTTCAGCACAAAATTTTAATTGTGGTCCTGAATCCTGAGCAAGGCCAAAGAGGAAAAAATAAAGAAAATGTAAGATTGTGGGGAAGATAGAAAATTCAGTTTTGATATGGTTATTTCAATGTGAATGTGGAACATGCAGATGGAGAGTAATCAGTGTGGTTTACACTGTGGAAAGGTTAAGACGCAATTCTTAGAAACAGCTTTAGTTTAGCCTATGAGAGTCACTGGATAGCAGTGAGGCAATATCTGACCTGTCTTAGTAACACACGGGGTTGTGATGTTAAACGAAATAAATGCACATGAAGGTCCCTTGCAAAATTATAATGCATGGTGTACATTCACTATATTCATACTATCTTGAACATTGCAGTTTATAGACATCATTTCTATGCTCCCTCTATTCAGGCAGATTAGTATTTCTTTTCTCCAGAGCAGTGAACTATTTCCTCTCTCTGTTCCTGTTACACCTGACACAGGCGCTGAGGTCTGAGGTTTCTGTTTGCCTCTCTCTGTCACTCATCTCACTGTGCTCCCTGAGAGAGCACAGAAATACACCGCTGCATCCTCCAGCTGGGAGTCTGAGATCCTGAGGCTGAAGTGTTTGCTTGCTTTCTGGAAGTTCACAGAGAAGCGATTATCTGTTGCATTTTGTTTCTTATAAGCATCTTGGCGGATAATGAGAATCATCTCCCCGCTGGGTGGCTGTTTATACCAGAACAAGTAATACTGACTGTCACTGGTGTCGTATGTGCAGGCCAGGGTCCCAGTCTCTGCCTCCTGCACGGACATTTCTGGTTGAGGCTGAGTGACCGTCTGGGCCAGGCTGGATCCTGTAGGAAGGAGGACAGAAAGGACTGTGCTGGGTATGACGCCAGAGAGACAAAGCAGGCAGACTCACAGCTGGTTCACATCCTCACCCACCTTTTTTCTCTTTTTTTCCCAGCCCTCAGGTAGAACATGTCAGCTTTCTGGATCCTCATAGCTGTGCTCCGTGGGGCAGTGCAGATCTTGTGTTATTAATCTCTCTTGTTTCCAAGCCCCATTAGAAAACATTACAAATAAAGACTTACACCTTCCTTACCGAGACATGTAGAGGCCACAACTGCCCACAGCAAGGTAGCAAGCGCCATGCTGACAGCTCTCCCTGCACAGTGAGACGTCTATGCTCTGCTCTGGGTGCCCCTCTGTGCTGGGCGACAGGAAGTGGTATCACAGGTGGGAGGGTGACTGTGTCTCCTTGAGGAGTTTTCCCAACACTTTTTGGTCTTTCAGAAAATAGGCCCTTCATTATAATTTCAAACACAAGTAAATAATGTTTTCTGAGCTCTTTTAATCTAGGATGAAAATACAGGGGAAGGAGCTGGCAAATTAATTTCTGATAAGACCTAATCTTGGAGAGGAGTCGAGACCTGGAATGGCGAGCAGAAGTGGCAGGGCTTATCTGCAACAATGGCAAACTCTACGTTTTCTTTCTTTTTCAGATAAAAATGACAAAGCAACTGTGATATATGAACAATTAATTATGGGTAATAAGCAGACACTTGTTTTATTTTTGTATTCAACTTTTATATTTTTATAATTTCTTAAAATAAAGAATTAAAAAAAAAGTTTGTAAGTGAAAAGAGCACTGACTAAACTCAGAAGCCACTTATGTCAAGTCTAATGGAGCCTATTTTTCCACAGATACTAAAAAAAGTATAAGTCCTTGTTGGTGTTGCATCAGGAAACTCTGCAGTAACTATATCAATAGTTCTCATTAGCCCTAAATAGCCTAAAACAATGCATAAAGAGTTGCTCTCACCACTCATTGCATTTTGAGAAAATAGTGTGAACAAAATATTTTTTAAAAGAAAACATAGCATGATTCATTAGAATTTTGCATTTCCAGAAGGATTGACAGAGATAATTCCAGAGTTGGATCCTTAGCCATATGGATGGGGTCCTATTAAACTCCAGGCACTGTCTGAGCAGCATGGTTCTCTGTAACACAGTGCTAAGAGGCTGAGCCTCTCCACTCAGATGTGCAAGGAGTCGTGAGAGTTCTGACCAACTCTGAGTGAGGTTGCTGGAATATATTGTGCCCCAAAACCCAGTCAGATAGCAATGGAAGAAGGGACAGCAGAATTCCTTCTAAATCATCTCCATTCTTGTCCTATGAATTGAATTCTTATAACTTTTATTTGAGCCTCCAAAAGTCAGTTCCTATATAAGGATTTGTGTAAGCAGGTTGTGTGCAAGTGATTCTATCAAACAATTGTAGGGAGTGAAGGAGGGAAGGGACGTAAGCCAATACAAGGTGTTGTCATCAACCAGTTATTACTATGGGCTATTGGACCTTAACCCAGCTGGGTGACTCTGGGATTCAGTATAGCATGCCCTTCGCAGTTACCCGAAGTAAGGCGTGAAGGAGCTGGGACAATCCATGAACTCACTATCCAAGGCTGATCGAGGGCTGCTTTAGGAACTCAGCAGCATCCTGAAGAGTAGCTCCCTGACCTCTCTTGCTTACGCTGAGCATTTAAGTTGTTCTTCCAATGTTCTGTTAGGCTAGTGGTTTGTAGTAGGATCAGTATAGCCAGTGGTCTTGTGCCCACTGTCACATCACTTTGTACAAAGTGGGTCTGTTGAAGCAAAGGGATGGGAAATCTTTTCATGATCAGTCAGACACTCTGGGCCCTCAGTGTGTGCTGCTTTGTGTGGAGGGGAAGGTGACTTATACCCAGAGGCTTGTATTAACCCCAATAAAAAAAGATTCTGACACCTCCAAGGTGCAAGTGGCCCAAATAAATCCACTTGCCAACAAGTAGCTGGTGATCTCCTTGAGGGCAGATTCCATATTGAAGGCTCAGGGTGGTCTCTACCATTGATAGCTTGACTGTTTGGCAGCAGAAGTAACTACATCCAGCCTCCCACCCACCTGCTCAGGGTTCTGACCTTAGGAAAGACAGGATGCTGGGCGCTTCTCACAGACTCACTGTTGGTAACCTCTGGTCACACGCCTTTGGCTCTTCTCCACTCAATGGCTGACGTTTTCCCCTCTTAAGGAGGAACCAGAATATCTGTCCTATTGCGGTCCCTTCTCATGGTGTCCTTCACAAACTTTACACCAGTTTGCCTCAGTTTTAGTACTTGACCTTCTATATTGGTCTTCTTAGAATGTCCAATATATTTTCTTTCATTACTGAAGTTGATGGTCATGTCTTTTAAGACACTTCATTTTCAATATATTTGTAAAAGTCTACAAGGAAGCTCAATGGCAAGAATTTTACTCTGCTCTCTCTCTGTTCTCTCCTTTCCAATATTAAGCCTCAGGACTAATTTTAACAGAGTAAGGACTTCATACTGAGAAACTAAAAAATGAGATGGAATTTGACAACATTATCTCTTCCTCTGCATGTGATTACCACATGAAAAATATTTGCAACAATGCTCTAAAAAGCCCCTCAGATTCCCTTTGCTCAGAGCAAAGTTACACTCGATGTCCTGGAGCCCTTATAGGGGGAGTGCAGGGCTCTGCAGGGTTTAGGTGCAGGTCGCAGGTGCCTGAGCTGCACTGTGTGCTTGCTGCACACAGGAACGTGGTGGAGTCACGGAGCCGGGAATCCTTCAAATGCAGGGAAAAGTGCTGGCCCTCGGTGTTAAGCCTGGCTGTGAATTTTCCGCTGATCTTTTCCTTCTCATTTGACCGCATTTGTATCAGGTTGCTGAGGCCTTCCCCAGGATCCTGCCTGAACCACTGGAAGAAATTGAAATTGCTGTCTGTATAACTACAGTTCAGGGTGAAGTTCTCTCCTTCTGGGACTTTCAGGAAAGCCGGGCTCTGTTCCACCGGTGCTTGTGGTTTTGACCCTGTTTGGGAGGAGTGAAGAAGTTTTCATATATGAGACACTGTTCCCCCCCCCACCAAAACCAAAGTTGTTTTATATTCCTTAGAATGAGGCCCAGGCTGTCCCTGGGATCCCTGGAGGTTTCTTTAGCAGCAGGGCCCCATTGCTCTTGCTCGGCCCTTCCCACCCCTCCTCCCTCCCCCTCACTCACAGGTTGGCTGCACACACAGGAGCATCAGTGCAGCTCCCAGGGGAACCGCCATTCCTGCTTCTTCCTGCAGCCTCTGAGGGTTCAGGTCGGAGGCCTTGGAACTGGCCGTGTTCAGGGGGTTAGGTCTCTGTTCCAGATTCTTCTGCTTCTTTTGGTGTGGACACCCCCGGAGATCTTCATTCTCTTGTCACAGCCAATCAAAGACTCACTTGTCACATAAAAGCCGTCATGAAAACACCCCTCCTGGCTGCTCCTGCTCAGAGTTCTAGCTCCCAGCCTGTCCCTGCTGTCAGTGGAAGCGCTGCCCCCATGTGGTCTGAGCTTTCTCATTAAATTTTTGTTTTCTTTCCATTTCCCCTTTAATACAAACTAACTCATTCTGTTATTTGAAGGGAATTAGAACATAGAGGGGAAAAAGAAAACAGAAAAGATAGAAAACAAAACATAATCTCAAAGTGTCCCCTGGGGATGACTGTCTGAGTCTTCTTAGTGCCTGGTCCGCCCTTCCTCACCCTCCTCAGCTTCACGGCCCTCCGCGCGGGTTCTTTGCCTGTATGACTCTGGGCTGCATTCTGAGGGGGTATAAATAAAAGTTTGAGAGAAGAATGGGGTGTTTCTTTTTACCGCTCAGGATCTACCACGGTTTGTTAAATTTCTCAACCTGAACAATTTTAAATTAGTTAAAAGAGTTAGACTTCTCCCAAATTCTCTCTAAAAATATAAAGAAGAGAAACATAATACTGTTTTTTAAAGTATATTCTCAGCTTTGATGGAACACCTTGGTATTGGTTAAATCTAATAATCCAATGCTGTTTTACATGTCTGTCTTTCTTACAATTAGGATGGTCTCCGAAATTTTCATAAAGGATTAGGGACACAGGAGGGCAAGAGATTAAGGATGAACAGTCTCTTCTATTCATTGCATATAGTTCTCATTTTGATGACTTTATTTATCTACTTAACCATGTATCCTCAGCTCCATTCCCTAGATAAGCTTTGGCCTATTGCCATCCATCCCTCCCTTCATTTCTTATTGTGGGCCCGAGTTTAGGGGCTGAGAGTCTGTGATGAGTAAAGAGCTGTGATCGTCATTGATGGTAATTGTATATGTCATTCATCCATTCTCCTTCAGACATGAAATTATGTAAAATAGGGGGACTGCCCCTTCTAGCTTCTCCCCTGAAGCACAGTGTAACTGTATCTCAGATAGGAGTTAGCGCCCTCTCAGAGATGCAGGTCTGAAGTGATCTGTGCTCAACCTTCTTCTGTCCTCTCATTGCTGCTTGAGAAAAAACAATAGGCACCTGGGATGGTCACAGCAGAAGCTGGTTGTGTGTAAATTGCTACACTTTCCTGGGCATGTGATTGTTCTTTTTCCCATTTGAAACCGTTAAGTCACGTCAAGTCTGGCACTGTAGAAACGCTAGCAAACCTTTTAGGCGTCTTAAGATTTTCACACTACTGATGAGGACACAAGAATATTTTCAAAGTAAAGAATTTCAGTCTGGAAGAGAAGTTGTCTCAGTTGTTTGGAAGAAGTAACATTTACATCAGAGTTTCCCTTGGAATTGTCTTCTCCCCAGTGTCAGACGTGGTGACATTAACATTTCAGATCATTACCAGCAGGAATATTTATAGTGAAAAGTGATTAATAATTTTCCTGGACAATGATAGACAGGAGCAAAAATAAATATGGAGCATCTGCTGTGTAATGTTTATTCACCTAAGCACTTTGGGATGTTTAATAAAATGTACAAAACAGAATATGCAAATAATAAAGTTGAGAAGACTAGAAAAATTTATAAAATTAACTAACTCTTGGGGGCAGTGCATGATAGGCATCAGCATTTACCACAAAGAGAAGCAAAATGCAGGAGCAAAGTGTTTGCAGTTAAGAGTAAGTAGCTTTCCCTGACAGGCTGGCTCACTTGGTTATACACCATTTGTCTCATACACCAAAAGGTTCAGCTTCAATTCCTGCACACCCCGAAGGCATTGGCATGTGTAGGAGGCAACTGGTCAATTTTTCTCACATAGATGTTTCTCTCTTCCTTTCTCTCTATAAAATCAATAAATATAGCCTAGCATGAGGATG